TCCTCGAGATGGAACTTTACAAAAGTTAACTGGAACTTATATCGAACTCTGTGTAGTAACAGACTTAAACCTGAACTTTTTATAGAGGTTCCTGATGCCCTAAATGATTTCTCTGATGAACTCAATAATAAAGCTGGTGAGTGTATCCCTAAATCTTCTGCAATTCCACACATACGAAAACCATGGTTCACCGATGAGTGCAAACAGACTAGGACGGCACGGTAGAAAGCTGGTCATTATTTCCGTCGCCATCTTATGGTGCATAATTTAAATAAATTTTAAATACTAAAGCGCGGCGGACCTTTAAACAGAATAAACGCCAGTCTTGGCAAAATTATGTATCCAAAATAAATTCTCGAACGCCCATGTCCAAGGTATGGAACATTGTCCAGAAAATGTAAGGTAGAGGTACTAAATCTAGTGTCCATCATCTCAAACAAGGAGATCAATTACTTACTGATAAATCAGATATTGCGAATAAACTGGGTGAAACTCTCGCTAAACACTCTTCCTCTTCTAATTATGTGCCTAAATTCCAAAAATATCAAAAACAACAAGAAAAGAAAACTATTAATTTCAATTCAGATAATGGGGAAGATTATAATGAAATATTTTCTATTCATGAACTCCATACTGCTCTTGATCAAGCTCACAATACTGCTACAGGAGCTGATAACATACATTATCAACTCCTGAAGCATTTACCTGAATCATGTCTAGAGACGCTCTACACATTTTTGATGATATTTGGACGTCAGGGAAATTTCCTTCCTCATGGCGTGACGCTATGCCAATACCTAAACCTGGACGTGATCATACGGTTCCGTCCAATTATCGACCGATTTCACTAACTAGCTGTGTTTGCAAAACCATGGAACGCATGATAAATAATCGGCTTGTTTGGTACTTGGAAACAAATAACCTTATAACAGATATACAATGTGGTTTCCGTAAAAACAGAAGTACTGTCGATCACAGCGCCTGGAATCATTTGTTAAAAACGCTCTAAGTAATAAACAACACGCTGTGTCTATTTTTTTTATCTTGAAAAAACATATGACACGACGTGGAAATATGGCATTTTAAAAGATTTACATGGCTTCGTATTGCGAGGCCGTTTGCCTTAATTTATAGCCAACTGTTTAAATGACAGAGGATTTCAGGCCTGCGACTGGGTTCTACCCTGTCTGATTATTACACTCAGGATCAGGGTGTCCCACAAGGCAGTATTTTGTCTGTGACTTTATTTAGTATCAACAGTTTATCAAAGATGTTAAATAATTCAGTTGATTTAATACTTTTTGTGGATGATTTTAATAGTTCTTGTCGCGGTAAAAATATGCATGCTATTGAACGGCAAATGCAGTTGTGTCTAAACAAAATAAATGGTGTTTAGGAAATGGTTTTAAATTTCCTAAGTGCAAAACTAACTGCATACATTTCTGCCGTAAATGCAAACCACATAAAGACCCTGAACTATTTCTAAACGACACACCTATCAAAGTCGTAAAAGAGATCAAGTTTCTGGGTCTTATTTTTGACTCCCACTTGACGCTTTTGCCGCATATTAAATTTCTGCTGCCGGCATTGAGCTGGACAATATATCTCCTTCCCGTCTTCTTTCTTCTCCTCCTTGTCAATTGGTTAGGCCCCAAGTTGACCTAACATTAACCACATTTAAAAAACCCAGAAACTAATGAATTACAGTATAAACAAGAATTTAGTCAATTAAGAAATAAATATAATACGTATAAATCATATTTACAGATGGGTACAAGGATGGTGGCGCTGTACCTTGTATCACTGTCATTGGATCCAGAACAATATCTTCTCGACTGCCTGATAACAGCTCTATTTTCACAGCGGAAGCTAACGCCATATTAACAGCCTTAAAATATATTAATACACACCCTAAATATAACAATATATAATCTTTTCTGACTCTCTTTCTTGCCTTCAGGCGATTAAAAATCTTTCTTGCAAACATCCACTTTTAATAGAAATTACTGAATTGTATAATGATCTTGTTACTGGCCAATACGACATCGTCCTCTGTTGGTTACCCAGCCACGTTGGCATTTCTGGGAACACTATGGCCGATCTTGCTGCCAAGGCAGCACTCAACAAATCTGTTACACCACTTCTTATCCCGTACTCTGATTACAAAGCTAACATTAGAACCTACATCGGTGATCTGATGTAGAAAAAGTGGGACACCCAATTGCAAGAAGAAGTAATAAATAAATTACATGAAATAAAACCCTATATCGGTTACACCTACTTGGGTTGTCAGTCCAGATTTGAAGAGGTCATCATACGACGATGTCGTATTGGCCACACAAGATATACTCATGCATATCTATTGAAAGGTGAGGATCTTCCGTTTTGTATCCCTTGTGATGAAAGAACCACGGTCAAGCATGTCCTGCTTGACTGTGTTGAATACTCCATTATAAGGGATAAATATTTCAATATCAAAACAGTAAAGGACCTTTTTAATAATGTTCTTTATCATTTAATTTTTAAAAGCGATAGCTTTGTTGATGAATTTTGATATATGTTTTGTAAAAAGAGAAAGTTTCATAATTGGTAGTTCAGATTATCAACTTAGATTGTTTGTGGATGGTATCCTCAAAGTAGGTTGAAGTAGCGTAAAATTATTGTCCTCCTAAGAGGATACGTAAGTCCCCAAAAAACTTTCTAAGACAATTTTGCTCAACATTACTTATAATCGTAGTATATTTGTTATTTTAAATTTCGGCTAAATCTTCGAACTATCGCCAGCGGCTGAAGGGACGGTGTAAATCCAGCTAGGGTCCAGGCAGGTAGCAAAAGTAATGTAAGTCCCCATGGTCTCTAGTATGGTGATCTACCTTCAGTTGTTGGCGATCTATAGCCCGTGTTTTATATTGTATTGCCTCCTTTAATTCAAATGTTTTAGTTTCCCATGCTAGTTTTATATCCATATCTGTGGTGCTCATTTACAGTCCGTTGAGGACTGCAGCTAGTTATTTACCGACTTATATTTATTGTGTATGTCCAACATTTATCGTCACTATATGGCTGAAATATTGCCGAGGTGACGTTAAATTTTAACTCACTCACACAGTACCTCTCTCCATCAAATCTTCCACTAACTCTTACATATTCCGTTTTCCCATCTACAAGCATCTGCAGTAGGTTATGCTAAACCAAATCAGAATCACCCTTAGATTGAATCATCTGGCAGCTGTGATTGGTTGATTTTGTTTAAGATTTTGTGTTTCACAAAGGTACATTAAGCCAGTAATTAAAACCAATAATATGAATATTTAGTACTGTCCTTTTTTACATGACGATTTATGCTGAATGTGACCACAGATGTTTTCCAGCAGGTGACACTTTGTGCCAACTTATTTTCCTGTACTCAGAAAACGAAGTGGTTGAGGGAGTCATATTTTCGTCTTTATTGATGCTTTTGGGTCAACCTATGGACACATGTGCATGTAACAGCTGTCAAGGTGTTAGTTAATTTTTTTAAAACAACGAAAACAACACCATAATATATAGTTACTATAGAATCAACGGGAAAATAGTTGGTTTTATGCCTGCAGTAGACTCCTCACAGCGCCGCTGTGCACCATTCTTGTTTGGAAGTCATGTTTATCCTCCCCCTTGAATTGTATATTGAAACAAATTATGATCAAGAAAATGTAGGTAATAAATTAATTTCTTACAGAGTTATGGCTCATGGTCCGTGCCTTGCAACCTTTTTAACCGTGCATACTGTGTGAAATAGGGCCAAGTTTTCGAAAAACATATTAAAGCAAGAGCAATCTCATTTAACACACTGGTATTCCTGGTCACGACCTAATATGAGCTCGCATGCTTTTTAGCTTTGATAAATGGGTTCCAAAAGTGCTGCAGTAGGCTGGTTGGTTTTATAGTTCCAGGGCGACATGGGCCAATAAGACGCCTATTTGCGCCCAACACATTGACTTGATTTAATAAACAATCATAGGTCTCTGCTTTGTGAGTGCTGTAGTAATTTGCTTCCAGAGTTACTTCCCTTGGTACATGATCTTAATTCTTGAGCACACACAGCGATCGACATAGTATCTGGATGGGACAAGCATTCTCTGAAAACACTCAAGAAACTCTAGACTAAGTTCAAATTTTAGTGACATAAAGCTGTTGTATTTCAAAAGAAGGGGCATTTTGTGAGTTATTATTTCAAATTAAATATTATTTTCTGATGACATAATGCGAACCTTGTGCTCAGGCTATTTGTCTCCTCATAAGGCTTCATGGTACCTTTGTCAATAGTTAACATATACTTCTGTATCATTGATTACTATGTGAACAAACATAACTCCGTACCCTGTGACGGCATAGTGATAACGCTGTTTTCATGTTATTATCATCACAACAATACCGAATGAATGATTCTATACACTGGAATAGGGTAGTGCAGGTCTTGTGTGGAATTTTAAACATGTACACGGCAAAAATAGAACTGGTGGTTGGTCCAGTCAAAAGAAAGGCAAATAGTTGAAAAGTTTGGCATGTTTACAGGTTCGACTGCCGCAGGACATAGCGACAGTAGTCTGTCTATGCCACGTACTTAGAAACACCGAGGTTGGTGTGGCAGTTTGTTTGTTGTTCAACGTCGCACTCAGCAGTATTCTGGATATAAAGCGGCAGTCTGTAAATATCACACAATCCAATGGTCAACAGCATGAGCATCGATCTGCGCAGGTGGGATACGATGACATGCATAACCCAAGTCAGCGAGCTTGACCACCCGATCCTGTTGGTCGCTCCTTACCACAAGCCTGGGTTACTGAAGGCCGTCACGAGTCTGGTGCGACAGTGAAGACACACAAAGGGGGGCAACAGAGTGAACACTTCGTACCATGTGTGGAGCTAGCATTTCTTCATTTAATCCATTTAGGCCGCACTGTCGGTGGACTGCAGCCTTAGAGGTGAAATGGGGTTCATAAGTTACATAACAATACGTCACAGATTCCTTTCTTTATTCCAGGTCTATTAAGCACAGGCACACTTTCATTCATTTCCTACACGTGCACATTAATAATAATTTCTTATTAATTCAACAAATTGAAACACGTGCACTTATGCCTCACGTTTTCAATATCCCGGTTGTACAGGTAAATTCTTTTCACCTGGACAAGAATAAACGCCATGACTTAAACAGATGAAAATGACAAATTTGCTGTTAAGAATTTATAACTAATGAGACAGTAGTAAGTCTTGGTGACACGACGTCAGACCTGTTGTGTGAGATCGCTGTCTGATAAACGGGATTCGGTGAAGCTCCAGTTACAGTTGCTGCTTAGCCTGACGCACATGAGTATTGCTGCAACGGCAGCCGTACCTGCCACATACACACCTCCAGAACTGATGGAGGCCAGAACTAGCCACGTTGGGGTCCACAGCACTCAGTCATTCATGCTGACAGCTCTGCCGGTTCAATATAAAATCTAAGCAGTCTAACTAAGTACACTTGTCTAATAAATGTCACTTCAACACGAAATATATTCTATACACTGAAATAATATACAAATTGGTATAAATCTCTTCTGATGTACACTGTATCATGACGTATTTACATAATGGCACATTTGAACATAGTAGCAGGCACTCACTGAACACGTGATTGTAGATAAATAAATTTATGTATATATATAAATATCTGATTAGACTTCATGGGGTGTAGATATGGTATCCGGACTTCCCGGGTTACAATGACGTCATTGGAATCCCATCCTGAAATTCAAGTAATCAAATCAAATCATAATCGTTTTTGGACATGTACGTTACACCAAATTCGTAGATCATGCTATTGACTACTGGAAACCGAAAATTATGTGTATTCAGGCTGGTACCATTCAATAATCTTTTCAACTTTAAAGTGAGTTTGGTTTTACGCTGATTTTAGCAGTATTCCTGCAATATCACGGCGGGGGACACCAGGAATGGGCTTCACACATTGTACCCAGGTGGGAAATCGAACCCGGGTCTTCGGCGTGGCGGGCGAACGCTTAACCACTAGTCTACCTCACAGCCCCTCAACTTTAGAATGATCCAGGGTTTCAATAGATCAAAAATATACTTTAATACTACATAAATACTATACATGTATAAAGAATTTGTTAACACCATGACAAATACAGTGAGTTCTGAACGGACAACGTACCGCACTCCGATAGGTCTTCACTCCATCTATCTCATGCAGCACGGGCAGGTCTTGATGGCCTATCTCGTCTTCAAACATCGCGTTGCTATAGGAGAACTCTTCAGAGACTTTCCCGGGACTAACTGCAATTACAAGGTAGGATCTACGTCAAATGGGTCTGACAACATGAATAGGCATAAACATTGTAGGCATGATGGAAATTCGAAATAGGTTTTCATGAACATACGTTCGTTGCCAATAGGCCAGCGACATGAACACATTGTGTCTATTGCACCTTTCATAATAAATAAATCTATGCATAATGTCAAAGAAATGCAAATACCGATCGTGATGACAACTAAATCTCACCATCTAACAGACCGGCTGTGTCATCAGTTGTTGATACATGCTGTTTAGGAGAAGGAGGACCTTCGATTTGGACAACTACTTCCTGTTCCACGTGGTCACATGACAACGAACTCTCGCTATCGGTGCGCGAGAATGGACCTCGAGCCTGCGAGAGTCCCGCTTGCGCACTGTTTGTGTCCATTGCATCACCATTCACATTTAAACGTTCGTGGTTTGTATCCGTGCTACTCAGTGATTCGTGTAGCACTTCCCCTTTAACACTGTCAACAGTAGGATTGTTTTCTTCTACACCTCGTTCATTGTCAGCCGTCATCAGATGGTTTGCATTTTCTTCGTTTATCTGTGTAAACATTCCATGCGAGACATATCCATTTCCCACTAGATCTGAAAAAGGTATATTACCACTATAATTATTATTGTTTCACTAGTATAATAATATGCGTAGCACTACTTCGTCCTATCGGTTAACATGTAGCTTACATGCATGCTACAAACAAAAGAAAAATTTAAAAAACACCTATTATGAATTTTAATGTACAAAAAGAACATGAGTTAATCATCTCAAATTTCCAGTTCTCATAGCTTCAAACAACATCTTGATTAATGTCGATCCTTGCTATCCCCTGTGTCTGCTCCTGCCTACCGTGGTGTTTCTGTTCTTTGCCCCGGCCTGACTCTATCACCTCCAGACTGGCGTTCTTCTCCAGCTGCTTCTCCATGTCACGTATTCGGTCCTAGGTGAAACACATGCTATTAAGTGGGAGAACTCTGACAAACCTGTAGTTCGATCCTTGTCCCGGGAGTGCACAATCATTGAGCACTCAGGAGGCAACCCAGAACAGTGGACCACTCCTACCTCACTCCACAATAACATATATCTACATATATACCATACTGCCCAAATAACATACATCTACATATATACCATGTTGCCCAAATAACATACATCTACATATATACCATACTGCCCAAATACCATACATTTACATATATACCATACTGCCCAAATACCATACATCTACATATATACCATGTTGCCCAAATAACATACATCTACATATATACCATACTGCCCAAATAACATACATCTACATATATACCATGTTGCCCAAATAACATACATCTACATATATACCATACTGCCCAAATAACATACATCTACATATATGCCATACTGCCCAAATACCATACATCTACATATATACCATGTTGCCAAAATAACATACATCTACATATATACCATACATCTACGTATATACCATGTTGTTTAAGTAACATACATTTACGTATATACCATACTGCTTAAATAACATACATTTACGTATATTGCTTCAATAACATATATTTTACGTATATACCATACTGCCCAAATAACATACATCTACATATATACCATACTGCCCAAATAACATACATCTACATATATACCATGTTGCCCAAATAACATACATCTACATATATACCATACTGCCCAAATAACATACATCTACATATATACCATACTGCCCAAATACCATACATCTACATATATACCATGTTGCCAAAATAACACATCTACATATATACCATACATCTACGTATATACCATGTTGTTTAAGTAACATACATTTACGTATATACCATACTGCTTAAATAACATACATTTACGTATATTGCTTCAATAACATATATTTTACGTATATACCATATTGCTTAAATAACATACATTTACGTGTATACCATACTGCTAAAAAAACACACAGTTACGTGTATACCTTATTGCTTAAATAACACACATGTTCGTATATATTGCTACTACATAAATGTAACACATTCCTACAATGTAAAGAAGAAGGTATCTACCTAAATGTAACAAGCGACAATGTATAACACTCTTCAAATTTGTTGATCACTGAAAACATCACTGTCTGCGGACTATATGTGGTTGCTGGTTATTTCCCATGCACTTAGATGTTCTACCTGCTGTTTGTCCATCTTGCTCTGCATGTCTTTACACCTCTCCTCCAGCTTGTGTTTGGCGTTCTGCCACACCTCCAGCTCTCGCAGCATCTCTCTCCTGCACTCCTTGGCGCGGACTACAACATGACCACTATACTACAACACATGTCGCTACTGGGCAGGAACTAGACATCACCACTATACTACAACACATGTCGCTACTGGGCAGGAACTAGATATGTTCATTGGGGCTTGTTTTACGATCATCCTGTGTATACGGTACCAGTTGGGAAGTTTAACTTTCATGTAACGTATATGTGCTTTACCAAATGTGCAGCCTTTTGTTTTCAAAGCAAAACCAATGAACTTATCCGATACACAATTACAGTCTCCACATAGATGTATTAAAGTTATGTAGTTGGGTTTGAAGAGTCTGATATACTTACTATTGCACGTAGATGGTACCCGCCATAACCTCAGTATAACGATGAAAGTGGCGGCTTCAAGGACAGGCAACTCTTCCTGCTCTACTGTGAATACGACCTCCAGGGCAAATGTCCCAAGTACGATGAGAGCGTCTGCAACCTGCAGTGACAAGATAGTGTGTATCTTCCACGTTGTGTTGACAGACCACCAACATTTTCTTCATGCAGAGACTTAGAACATGGGACTAGGTGAAGAATTTCCACTTTGTGCACGGACGAGTTACATTATGTATATAAGCATCAGTGAAAAAACATCATGGAATATACTTATTATACACCAAACTGGAAACTTAATATATGTCTACAAGTCGCACCAACCAAGTTGACGTAAAAACAAATGTATTGTCATTAATAAATCATAGCTTGACAATATATTGATATCTGCCAAGAAAACAATCATAAACTGTACATTTTACAAAACAAGATTGTTTTTGGTGTCCTCATTTTGCCACAAACGCAAAAAGAACATTTATTCATATGAAATGATAAAATCGCAACACAGATCTTATTTTGGTCAGTCCATTCTATTGGAAGGAAAATCGTGTAGTTTCAAGTGCAGTTATCTCCCTTACCCTACAACATATGGTACTCTATGACTATACCAGCGGGACAACTAACATGTGCACCGTAAAAAGTCACAATAATAAAGTTAATATAAAGGTACCTTGAAGTCTAAAGAATCATGCGTTATAATCACACGTACAAACGCTTCGTCATGATTACCCCTAACTCAGTTGCCTCACTTGAAGATGCAGCCTAGCCTTTTCATGCATAGAATCTCATTGGCAAGACATGAAGTGCTTAAGTGTTAAACGCCAAGCCACACCTATCTGAAAATGAGCGGTTGTGTGCTTTTGCAAGCACTCCAGCTTTACATCCGATTAGGTCAAGGGCTCTGACTAGATTTTGAGAGCATAGAGAGTCGTAGCGCTACGATAGCTTTGTGAAACGGGACCCTGGAGGTTAGTCCTCTTCCCAGAGTCCCTGTTTCATAAGTAGTGATGGCCGCGAGTGTGTCTGTCGACGCTGGATGGAATATCACTCTGACTCGTGTGTCGTTCAACGTTCTGCATTCGGTGGTGTCAGTGTAATTGTGTGGGGTGACTGCCCATCACATGACCCTTCCAATGGTCATCGAAAGCAATTCGACAGGTGCACTGTATACAAAGTTGACCACCCTCACGAGCCCCTGGTCTATCAGGTCAATGGGCGTCCCTAGGTCCATCGTTTCCCCCTTCATTAGGTCCATCGTTTCCCCCTTCCCTAGGTCCATCGTTTCCCCCTTCCCTAGGTCCATCGTTTCCCCCTTCCCTAGGTCCATCTCCCCTTCCCTAGGTCCACCGTTTCCCCCTTCCCTAGGTCCACCGTTTCCCCCTTCCCTAGGTCCATCTCCCCCTTCCCTAGGTCCATCTCCCCCTTCCCTTGGTCCATCGTTTCCCCATTCCCTTGGTCCATCGCTTCCCCACACCTGTCCCCAGCGAGTAAACGTGTGAAAAGAACTAAAACGACGTTTACACCGACTTAAAAAGCAACCGATGACTTTCGTTCAGCTGCGACAGGATAAGGTCAAAATAAAGAATGACACCTCACAAGCTTTTGTCAACCATCTTGTGTCGTCAGTGAGGCGCCGTCGTCAAGCTGATGTCACTTCTAATGATGGTAATACCCGTGAACTGACAACTGACCCTTTGCCAATATGCGGCCGAGATGACGTGTTTAAACTGCCAGGATTCATGAACATTCATAATTATCTTGTTTACAGGCTTGTTTTTGCTCTGTCGCTAAAACCTTCATTGTTTGTTATTAATGTTTCCAATGACAGAGTGATTCACGAGAATGTTCTTCACATAATATACATCAGTATTGACATCCATTATAAGGCAGGCGAAATATGGTATATAGGACTGACTGACTGAGTTTAGTTTTAGTCATATCACGGCGGGGATTGGTGCATGTGGGGAATCGAACCCGGGTCTTCGGCATGACGAGCCAACGCTTTAACCACTAGGCTACTCCACCGCCCCTGGTATATAGGAAGTCATGATTGGTGCATATAGTTCGGGATTGATATAATTTGGCAAAGTTATGTCAACATACCTGGAAGATTTTCAAGAAGAATGACTTCCCTTTGGCAAGGATTTTTAACATCATCTGAAGCAAACGAAATTTATTAATCAGAAAACCAAATCAAAAAGCCGAGAGCATCGCTCAGTCGATGTGCAAATGATTATATCTGCCACCTGCAAACACAAACGGGAAATGTATTTACAAATGTATATTACAAAATGCGTGTATGTGTGTGTGTGAGTGTGTTCGTGTGCGTGAGTGTGTGTGTGTGTGTGTGTGTGTGTGTGTGTTTGGTTTGTATGTGTGCGTGTGTGTACGCAAAACGTTTCGAAGTCTGGCATCATTTCTTAGCTTCTCCAGAAGGGACCAGTATTCTAACCTCAGAAACACCGCCAAAGCTTACTTTCTTCTCGTTATGCTTTCTCACTGCTTGTGTCTGGTATTACTTACTGAACAAGGACTCACCTCTACGAGGAACACGGCGGCTATGACAAGACTGATGTAGTGAAAGACTAGATGTGCTGTCTGCAAAGGATCGACCGACACGCCACCTCCTGGGTCTATTGGATTCCCTACGGTGCTGGTGTTGGGGTCACTGACGTCAATCCGAGATGTGTTGTGTGTGACGCCTCCGTTGATTCCGTCCCCATTACTGCCATCGCCAGTATTTTGGGGAACTGAAAACACCAGGAGCACGTTATGTTAGCCTCACATCTACCTGAATGTACAGGCAGCCCACCTTTTGCGTGGTGGTAACCTCCATTGGAGGCGCAACTCTCTGACATAGCCTGACCGGTGTCCTGACATGTTGACGCGTTCTTTCAGTAACAGCAATCAGTATTAATTACATACCTTGATGAAAAGAATCTTAAACTGATTTAGTTGTGCTGAAAATATCGAATTGCGCATTAAATATATTACTAATTGTAACTTAAATCACATTAAATTTACCTAGACAAAACATCCAAACACGAATATTTGACTCTATCAAAAGTGTCGACTAGCTAAACAGAACTAAAAGTAACACAGGGTTATCAAAGGGAAACGCAATTTTGTGCATACACTTATAACGTTGATTCAGACTGTAAGAGTTGCATTATTTTAAAATCATCTCGCCTCGCAATGCTCTGGACCAACCAGAGATAAGGACATTGCACATATTTCCATTTAAACACCTTCACAGTATGTGGCGTTGTAGAAATGTACTTAATGAAACAAACATATACGCTGAAAAGTAGTTGATCGTGAAACATGGTATCATCTGCAGTTAGATGCAAAATTAGTTTTGAGAAACTTATGGCCACAGATAAAAAAATCTTAAAACCAAATAACACTGAAACATTATGTGTTGATGAAGGTATGGATGGTCACATGTAGGGGAATGACTGAAGGTATGGATGATGGCGTGTGATGGTATGACTGAAGGTGTGAATGATGGAATGACTGAAGGTATAAATGATGGAATGACTGAAATCATGAATGATGGAATGACTGAAGGTATGGAGGTTAATGATGGAATGACCGAGGGTATGAATGATGGAATGACTGAATGATGGAATAACTGAAGGTATAAATGATGGAATGACTGAAGGTATGAATGATGGAATGACTGAAGGTGTGGAGGTTAATGATGGAATGACCGAGGGTATGAATGATGGAATGACTGAATGATGGAATAACTGAAGGTATGAAGGATGGAATGACTGAAGGTATGAATGATGGAATAACTGAAGGTATAAATGATGGAATGACTGAAGGTGTGAATGATGGAATGACTGAAGGTGTGGAGGTTAATGATGGAATGACCAAGGGTATGAATGATGGAATGACTGAATGATGGAATAACTGAAGGTATGAAGGATGGAATGACTGAAGGTATGAATGATGGAATAACTGAAGGTGTGAATGGTGGAATAACTGGAGGAATGAATGATGGAATAACTGAAGGTGTGAATGATGGAATAACTGAAGGTATGAATGATGGAATAACTGAAGGTGTGAATGGTGGAATAACTGGAGGAATGAATGATGGAAAAACTGAAAGTGTGAATGATGGAATAACTGAGGGTATGAATGATGGAATAACTGAAGGAATGAATGATGGAATAATTGAAGGTATGAATTATGGAACGACTGAAGGTAAGAATGATGGAATAACTGAGGATATGAATGATGGAATAACTGAATGAATGAATGATGGAATAACTGAAGGAATGAATTATGGAACGACTGAAGGTATGAATTATGGAATAACTGAGGGTATGAATGATGGAATGACTGAAGGTATGAATGATGGAATAACTGAAGGAAGGAATGATGGAATAACTGAGGGTATGAATGATGGAATGACTGAAGGTATGAATGATGGAATAACTGAAGGAATGAATGATGGAATAACTGAAGGTATGAATGATGGAATAACTGAAGGAATGAATGATGGAATAACTGAAGGTGTGGATGATGGAATAACTGAGGGTGTGAATGATGGAATAACTGAAGGAAGGAATGATGGAATAACTGAAGGTGTGGATGATGGAATAACTGAAGGTATGAATGATGGAATAACTGAAGGTGTGGATGATGGAATAACTGAAGGTGTGAATGATGGAATAACTGAAGGAATGAATGATGGAATAACTGAAGGAATGAATGATGGAATAATTGAAGCTGTGAATTATGGAACGACTGAAGGTATGTATGATGGAATGACTGAAGGTGTGAATGATGGAATGACTGAAGAAGTGAATGATGGAATGAATGAAGGTATGAATTTTGGAATGGCTAATGGTATGAATTATGGAATGACTAAAGGAATAAATGATAGAATGACTGAAGGAATAAATGATAGAATGACTGAAGGAATAAATGATAGAATGACTGAAGGAAAAAATGATTGAATGACTGAAGGAATGAAATATGGAATGACTGATGGAATGAATTATGGAATAACTGAAGGTATGAATTATGGAATGACTGTGGGTATGAATGATGGAATGACTGAAAGAATGAATAATGGGACAACTGAAGGTTGATGGGATGACTGAAGGTATGAGTGATGGAATGGCTGAAGATATGAACGATGGGGTGAATGAAGGTAAGAATGATGGAATGAGTGAGTTTAGTTTTACGCCGCACTCAGCAATATTCCAGCTATATGGCAGCGGTTTGTAAATAATTGAGTCTGGACCAGACAATCCAGTGATCAACAACATGAACATCGATCTGCGCAATGATGGAATGAAGTGTGATGGTAGTAAATAGGGTATATGAGGATTATTTTGGCAATGTGAAAGAGGAGTTGAATCATGTTGGAGGATGATGGGAGCGTTAATGAAGGTATGGATGTTTGCATGTGAAGGTGTCAATTAAGGCTTGTAATAGTATTTATTGTGGATTGCAGAGGAATGGATGACGATACAAATCGTATATGTAACTGTATGGGTGAGGTTTTAAACGCACGAATCAAGGTTACAGTGTGCTTGTATGTTTGGAGAAGTAAAGCAGATTCCATTTATATGTCTCACCTTGTACAATGTGGAGGTTAATGAGCAGTTCCCCTGTTATGGCAAGCACGGAGACAAGTGTCAGGGTTATGATGCAGCTCTCAATATGGACGCTGTACAACCCCTCCCGGAGTCGAGCCATGCATCCACCCCTGCAATAAATCAGATTACTTTTAGCTTGGATGCTAAGCTGAATGTACCAACTGTGGGACATGAAGTTGAAGTAATTCCGGCATTTGCTTGTGGGATAGCACAAAAATGAATTACTATGGCAAAGAAGTGATATCATTGTAAGTGAGTATGGTTATATTCCAGCCTTGTCACCCGGCATGTTCTCTCTTGTATCCATTTTTGGCTAATTCAACCGCCCCTTATGATATTATACATATGCTATACTATTTACATCTATACAGGTGGGAAAATAACAGAACCAATCATCACGACGTGGGTTACAGCAACGTGTCAGCTAGAATTCTATGATAAAGCATTTTATTACTTTGTAAACGTATTTTCCTGAAACATTCGGTGCCCAAAATTAAAATTCTTAAAATCATTTTCGTAGTTTGTAAAATGATCTTTGAAGATTCTGTCGGTTGGGTTAAATTGAAAACAAAATGAAAGAAAACATTTTGATTAATGGCAGCGAAAGATTCCTGATTTAATGGTGTATTTTAAGGGACATGCGGTAAGATACTACCTTTCATTTTAATCCATATTTGGGAATTTTTTATCTCCGCACTAGCACAAAAATTAGGTGTGTATGCATTATATGAAATATGCATGATCTTAACCTAACACCCTCGTGTAGCTGCCAGAATAACAGCTTATACTACGCTTTAGTCACAAATATGTACAACAGGACATGGCTGCAAACTGCCGACGTAGTTGTAGTGTCTCATGTTGTCATCATTCATGTTATCTCCGGTTCAAGTGGGCTGTAATCAGAAGACTTCAACCAGCTACACCCTCCTACTTCCCGGTGTTACGTCTGTCGGTATAGATATATTTGGCAGGCTTATATTGATACTATTTTCCCCGTCTCACGTAATCCGCACCCGATGACGCTGAGCCAAGGGTGGAAGCGTCGTCCGAGGGGTTCCACAGGCATGCCAGGATGTAACAATTATAGTTCATACCTAATTCGCAATGGATATCATTCCCTTATACATGAGTACCATACCAACGTTTCTGATAAACACGAAGGGCCTGCACCAGTCCCGGCGTTCCTCCATCATTTAAGGGAGACCGAGGCCTGTAGACCATTTCGAGCGTAGATCAAAACTTTGTAATCATATATGGATGTCATATGTCACAGACTGTTGGACTATGTGGTTAGATTAATCATTAACGGCTTGACGTATATAATATATACGAAAGAATATTTGAATGAATGGACGCACAACGTATATATTAAATGACTAGAAACAGACCTTGTCGAAATGCAACCTGACTTAAGCTTCGCACCTTTAAAATAGAGATACTGTTCAAAGTGACGCACTCAGTCATAGAGGTCTTATCATAGTGGTATCGAATATCAATATCGTGCTGGTCTGACAAGCACTGTTTGTGAGCCACCCGCATTGAACCTTCACTCTTCTTGGCTCTACACCTGTATTTCCACTTACATCAACAACACGCACATCTACTCACCTCACTCCATGGCCAGCACATATTTCATATTCAGTCATGGCTCTTTCCATCATGGTCAAAGCACTTGTATCACGGGCATATACAGTACATGTTCAGTACTAACGTCGTAACTCAATCTATCATCAACAACCGACAGGCTCAACCAGACGAGCTTTCCGGGTAAGGCGTTATCTTTCGGAGAAGGTGTTTTGAGTTTAAGCAGGACGAAATCTGTATACAAAGCGTTCAACGTCGGCTGTGTGCCCATGAGATTAACCCTGCCCTTTCTGGGCCACCTTCAACTGAGAGGCTTTTACTACAGCATGCTATTGATATCACATGACTCACATCTAATGGCTGGCTAACATTGCAATTTGAATTTGAATTATTGTTTTTCAGAGTGAAATGCATAATTAAACAAATGATTCAATGATTATCTAATTGATATGTAGGTCAATTAATGACTTATGAATGAAACATGAAAACTGAACTCGCTAGAGATTAGCAGAACATTGGGTATAGTGGGACTATTTGTTGCTGAATGCCGCCCTTAGTCATTTTCGAGGTATATGTTGCTGACATGTTGCTGATCACAATACAGACGTTGATATCATGAGCAACATCCGACGTGCGATGACGCAAACAACCAGGTCTACTGAGTCCCGCCATCCCATTGATTCTATCGCCTCATACAAGTCTATGTCGCTAGAGATGTGTTTATCAACCAGGTCCACTGAGTCCGGCCATCCCATTGATTCTATAGCCTCATACAAATCTATGTCGCTAGAGATGTGTTTATCAACCAGGTCCACTGAGTCCGGTCATCCCATTGATTCTATAGCCTCATACAAGTCTATGTTGCCAGAGATGTGTTTATCAACCAGGTCCACTGAGTCCGGCCATCCCATTGATTCTATAGCCTCATACAAGTCTATGTTGCTACAGATGTGTTTATCAACCAGGTCTACTGAGTCCCGCCATCCCATTGATTCTATAGCCTCATACAAGTCTATGTTGCTAGAGATGTGTTTATCAACCAGGTCTACTGAGTCCCGCCATCCCATTGATTCTATCGCCTCATACAAGTCTATGTTGCTACAGATGTGTTTATCAACCAGGTCTACTGAGTCCGGCCATCCCATTGATTCTATAGCCTCATACAAGTCTATGTTGCTAGAGATGTGTTTATCAACCATGTCTACTGAGTCCAGCCATCCCATTGATTCTATCGCCTCATACAAGTCTATGTTGCTACAGATGTGTTTATCAACCAGGTCTACTGAGTCCGGCCATCCCATTGATTCTATCGCCTCATACAAGTCTATGTTGCCAGAGATGTGTTTATCAACCAGGTCTACTGAGTCCCGCCATCCCATTGATTCTATAGCCTCATACAAGTCTATGTTGCTAGTCTATGATGTGTTTATCAACCAGGTCTACTGAGTCCGGCCATCCCATTGATTCTATAGCCTCATACAAGTCTATGTTGCTACAGATGTGTTTATCAACCAGGTCTACTGAGTCCCGCCATCCCATTGATTCTATCGCCTCATACAAGTCTATGTTGCTACAGATGTGTTTATCAACCAGGTCTACTGAGTCCCGCCATCCCATTGATTCTATCGCCTCATACCAATCTATGTTGCTACAGATGTGTGTTTATCAACCAGGTCTACTGAGTCCCGCCACCCCATTGATTCTATCGCCTCATACAAGTCTATGTTGCCAGAGATGTGTTTATCAACCAGGTCTACTGAGTCCCGCCATCCCATTGATTCTATCGCCTCATACAAGTCTATGTTGCTACAGATGTGTTTATCAACCAGGTCTACTGAGTCCCGCCATCCCATTGATTCTATCGCCTCATACAAGTCTATGTTGCCAGAGATGTGTTTATCAACCATGTCTACTGAGTCCAGCCACCCCATTGATTCTATAGCCTCATACAAGTCTATGTTGCTACAGATGTGTTTATCAACCAGGTCTACTGAGTCCCGCCATCCCATTGATTCTATCGCCTCATACAAGTCTATGTTGCTACAGATGTGTTTATCAACCAGGTCTACTGAGTCCCGCCATCCCATTGATTCTATCGCCTCATACAAGTCTATGTTGCTAGAGATGTGTTTATCAACCAGGTCTACTGAGTCCAGCCACCCCATTGATTCTATAGCCTCATACAAGTCTATGTTGCTACAGATGTGTTTATCAACCAGGTCTACTGAGTCCAGCCATCCAAAGTATTCTATCGCCTCATACAAGCAGTTTAACATGGCAACCTTGATAGCCACTTAAACATTTGCCGTCATAATTGATATTCAAATGTTTTCTGCAACATGCCAAAGTTCAGCATTTTCCCGGAAAATGTGCAGTTTGAGAGAATACAAGGGCATGATTACAAACATGAACAAGATATACATTATTGTAAACAAGCAGAATTAATTTAGCGTATTCCAAGGATTTCATTACATTTCGTACAAAAATGGTTGAGAATTAACATAATCAGAATTTCGCAATAAGACTGTTGAAAATATTGAAAATCGGACTTAAAAGTTTTGAACCAATTAAGGTGCAATCATTTTGTAAAACAATCATGTGGTTTACGGTGCTATGAACAGCATTTTTACACAATTGTACAGTATTGTCGACGTGTAAAAGGTCAAATGTAGGTCATAATTAACAATTTCTTTAAAAACGAAGAACACATATTTTGAGCACCACTACTCACTTGTAACTACACTTGTACTAAATGACCAAAAGGGTTTTCAATACGGATGCCGGTGCAGCCATGTTAGAAAATCTGATTTACTCCTCTTGAACACATTCGAATGTCATTCACTGTTTTGCGAAATTTCAGCTTCATCGTTTCAGTGTTTTTAAAGATCTATACGAAGCACAACGCACGTCCCACCTCAGCTTAGTCCCAAACGCCTCTGACCCATGTAGGAGAGGATGTACACTATTGGGCACAAAGAAACAGTCGCAGGAGTATGCTGGTTCAAGAAGCTGTTGCTGCTTCAAAATATCGTGTTACAATAATGACGTTAAACTGTCCATGTATGCAGTTCATGTGACTGGGATGCTGGCCTGCGCTTCACTCATCAAGGGTCTCACTTCCTTATGATCTAGTCTATATTCGTTCTTCGGAAATTCGTTAATGACTTTGAAGAAATATCGGTTTGGAATCCTGTAACTAACGTTGGACTTTGATGGAATCGGTTTGGAATCCTGTAACTAACATTGGACTTTGATGGAATCGGTTTGGAATCCTGTAACTAACATTGGACTTTGATGGAATCGGTTTGGTATTCAAGTGTTACACTGCAACCACTGTACACCAAGGATGCACAATGACACTTTGTATTTTCTTCAGCTATTAGAGCAAAGTTTCCGTATCGTAACATATAAACAATCGATATCAGGCATCATCTGACATGATTCAAACTCACAATAACACATATATGTAGGAGTCTTTTATCTTTGAACAATTAGCATTAACATTAGAATCCTTACTATGTATGTT